TGGTGGAGATTTTGTCCAGTAGGATCCTATGGGAAACCGTGTCAAAAGCCTTGCTGAAGTCCAAAAAAATCACATCAGCTGGTTTCCCTTGGTCCACCATACGGGTGATCTTATCATAAAAGGAAATCAGGTTAGTTAGGCAGGACCTACCCTTCACAAACCCATGCTGGCTGGGACCAATGACTGCTTTGTCCCCCAGGTGTGCCTCAATAAGTTCGAGAACCGTCTTCTCCATGATTTTACCAGGCACTGACGTGAGACTGACAACCTACAATCGTCATGAATGCGGTGCTATCTAAAGAATTAACATCAAGGTCATGCTAAGTATGAGGATTTTATTACTATTTTGTAGAAATGCAACATTTTTTTTTAGCTCAAAAAAAGCGAAAGTGCACTCTAAAGCAGCAATTTCTTAATCTAAAAATCCATCAGGTGAACTGAGGTGAAAGAAACCAATAAGCTAGAAATGCAATCTGGAGATTTGCAAGAGGAGGTGTGGGGGGAGAAGGGCTGGAGGGATGTGTGAGATGGGGAGGTGCCGAGGCAGGGGGACGTGGTTAATGGTGAACTGAGACAAGCGGGGTGATGATTTCAGTCAGCATTTTGCATTGGTGTCCCCCACACAGCATGTTGTTGAAGCTAGTGAACCAACGAGTGAGACTTAAAATAGTTCATTAAAAACAAACAATTCCAAAATAGCAGCACACACTTTACTAACCTGTAGTATACGTGTGAGATGTATTAAACTTATTCAAAAATCTACCAATTTGTCTACCTTGTAAAACTTGACCAAAGTTTTTGATATGGTCGCTCACCACATTCTTCTCTCCAAATTGGAGAGGTATGGATTTGAGGGATGCACTGTTAGGTGGACAAAGAATTGGTTGTCTGGTCGCAGCCAAAGGGTTGTGGTCAATGGCTCTATGTCTGGGTGGAGGCCAGGCACAAGTGGTGTCCCTCAGGGGTCGGTCTTGGGATCTGTGCTCTTCAACACCTTTATCAATGACATAGGTTATAGGATTATAGGAATCAAGTGCATCCTCAGCAAGTTTGCAGCTGACACCATGCTGAGCGGTGCAGTCGGTACAATAGAGGGAAGGGATGCCATCCAGAGGGACCTGGACAGGCTGGAGACGTGGGCCCATGAGAATATAATGAGGTTCAACAAGGCCAGCTGCAAGGAACTTGAGAGCAGCCCTGCAGAGAAGGACCTGGGGGTCCTATTGGACGAGAACCTGGACATGAGCCAGCAGTGCGAGCTTGAAGCCCGGAAGGCCAACTCTGTCCTGGGCTGCATCAAAAAAGGGGTGGCCAGCAGGGGGAGGGAGGTGATTGTCCCCCTCTGCTCCGCTCTTGTGAGACCCCACCTGGAACACTGTGTGCAGGCCTGGGGCCCCCAGCACAAGAAGGATGTGGAGCTCTTGGAATGGGTCCAGAGGAGGGCCACTAAGATGATCAGAGGGCTGGAGCACCTCTCCTATGCAGAAAGGTTGAGGGAACTGAGCTTGTTTAGCTTAGAGAAGAGAAGGCTCTGGGGAGACCTCGTTGTGGCCTTCCAGTACTTGAAGGTAGCATATAAACAGGAGGGGGAATGCCTGTTTATGTGTGTTGATAGTGACAGGATGAGGGGAATGGTTTTAAACTGAGACAGGGGAGATTTAGATTAGATGTTAGGAGAAAAGTTTTCACTCAGAAGGTGGTGAGGCATTGGAACTGGTTGCCCAGAGAAGTTGTGGATGCCCCATCCCTGAAGGCATTGAAGGCCAGGCTGGATGCAGCTCTGGGCAGCCTGCTCACGTTGGCAACCCTACCCAGAGCAGGAGGGTTGGAACTAGACGATCTTTAAGGGCCTTTTCAACCCAGGCCATTCTATGAAAAAGTGAGAAAGGATCATATGCAGCTTGGCGAAAGACATCGCGCAGACAAATATTTGGCTTAATTAGAAGAGTTAATCTAAGAGTACTTGAAAACTCTACAAGTGATTTTATTAAATAGTGCATGGAAAATGAAGGGTCTTATGCCAAATAGTTGGAAGCCACAAGTCCATTTTTTTCCAATTCCCTCTATAGCTTAAGAGGAAACAGAAGATGAGTTTTCTGTAGACCATACAATGCCTTCCAGTGAGCACATGTCCCAGTAAACAGGCAAGTTCAATATGAGAAGAGTTTGACAAAGACTCTGCTTTATTCCATCTTTGTGGGTGAACTCCTAACCTGGGAGCTATTAACTTTATCTTGCACTTATGATATACACTGTGACAATTGAAAAGCTGTAAATTGATTTTTCTGAATGTTTATAGAATAGTAAGTATAAGTACACCTATCAAAACATTTGATATTCATTATTTGATGCTTTCAAAGGGTTTTTAAGTCTATCTTTTTATAGAAACTTAATGATATTCCATTGACACATTAAAAAGACACAATCTGAAATATTTTCAATTTTTAATAATAGTCTGAAGCACTCTGATTCCAAATGATGTTGCAGCATTTCTTGGGGACTGTCTTTAATATTACTTTTTATTCTCTTCTACTTGCCAGGCTGACTTTTCTGGTAGTACTACATCTCCAGTGACTGATGGATGTGAGTTCTTACAGTGCATTTCCCCTTTTATCCCATCAGGGAGAGGCAAGTGTCAGCTGGAATTGCCACATGGGGTCACTTTTGAGAGCCCCGTTACACAAATAAAATCATTCAAATCTCCTATCCCACTTTCAAAAGATGTTATTTGGTCTCGTAAGATTGTATTTTTTTCATATATTTTTTTTTTTCAAAATCTGAATAACTCTCCTATTGAACCCTCTGTTGTTCTTATTTCTTGATTCTCCAGAAATTAAAAGCATTCTGTTGGGCTTCAGACTTACTTTTCCTATCTGCTGGGTGTAACTCAAGCATGTGATAGGACTCAATAGAGTTTCAGTGGGAAAAACACATGCCAAAATTTAAGACCATGTTTCTACATTTCCTAGTTCTGATTTTTTTTTTTTCAGTTTACCTTCCATATACCATGTTCTTCACTTTTCCTCCTGGTGTCTTAAATTTCATTGATGGCTTTCTGTGGTAAAAGAGTAATAAAAAAATTCCTGATAACACCTATTTTTTTCCTGCTCTCTTGTGACAGCCTAAGGTGCGATAATGTGTTTTTTTTTTTTGTTTGTTTGTTTGTTTGTTTTATTTTTTTTCCACTCTATGGAATTACTGCTGCTGACTTTCAATTGGGTTTCTAAAAATTGCATTTGCCTTTCTATTCTGAACTACTGTGTTGGACTCTTGCTCTTATGGCTCAGATTATGACTCCCTATTTCTCTAATATTTTTATGACCACATTACACAAGTTGAAAACGTACTGGCAATAAAGAACACCTGAAGACAGAACTGCAGACAGGAGATAAGGGTTTAGTGTAGATACGGCTTTGCCTTTCGGTATTCTTTAAACAAGCACTTGCTATCTTTTGCCAGTGACAAGTTAGCCCTCATAAAACAATATAATACAATTTCCCTGTGAAATATTTGTACTAAATAACCTATTAAAATATTTTACGTGCTTATGTGCTCTGTTAGGTATATTATTCCGTCTCCTGACCACACAATATATTTTCTCACTTCAAAAAATGTGAAAACAAGGTATATTCAGTTGGAAATCTTGATTCTGAAGTTTTAATCATTTTTTTTTCTTTACATGAAATTCTCCTGCTGTTGGGATAAAATCATTTACTGATACCAGATTAATGATTTGTATCCATTACATGCTGATGTGGGGAGAGGGAACCTTGTATCCCTCTCTCTAATGTTTTAAAAGACATTAAAAGTAGGAGGAACCCTTCAGTCTCTGACAAATTCTTTAAATTGGTGCTAAAGGAAACAAACAAACAAAAAACACAACTACATGTTGACAGGTGGAGAACTAAGTTTGAAGAGCAGAAGGCAGCTGACCCATGACCCTGGCTTGCAGGATCTCTTCCCTGCCTGTGATCTGGAGGTAGAGGCCCACTGTACTCTTAAGGGCTCATGAAGCACAAAGTTTGTTATCAACCTGCTGGGTAGTGAGATGGAAGAAACTCATTTCTCTCTGACCAAGGCAGTCTTCACAGGTGTGACCCAAAATGCAGCAAGAGCTGTTGTTTTGGTGTGCTCTATTTATTCTTTATTTATTCTCAGGAAGTACCGTTTCCTAATAATAATTTATTCCTCTAATTTTTAGTTTCGGTGAGTCATGGTAGTATTTCTGGGCCCAACGTTATTCTCCATTTGCCATAACACAGCAGGCATATCCCGAAGGTATGTGCCAGAACCTCATTTAGCGATCTGTTTCCTCCAACTATCCTTTAGATCAGCTAGTCAAAGCAAAATGCATGTATCAGTGAGAACTAGGATGGGCTAGAAATATTACATTCAAGGCTCATTTTGCTACGCTGTGGGCTTGTTGCACAACCTTTGTGTAGCTTAGGAGCCAGTTTCCAATGGATCCTTCAGCTGATGGGGTCCCTTCATGCTTGCATATTAACAGCTGTCAATTCCCAGTGTCGATTCCCAATTAAACTGATTAGCAGGTAAAGAACTGCAAAGCACATAGTAAAGATTACAGGATAAACTAACTACAGGCACAAGTTGGAAGATATGAAATGTGTCCAGGTATTTTCTATTGAGGTCTTTTGAGCAGTATGCTTGTTTTTTTGTTTGGTTGTTTTTTTTTTTAATCATCTTCTGTAAAGGCTCTATCAGTTTTGTATCAGAGCAAACTAAGCAGCTCCTTGGTGGAGGAAGGGTCTAGCCTAAACTAAGCGTAAACTTTGAGTGTGTAAGTCCTAGATCAAAGAGAAGAGGGAGATGTGGGAGACAGTTTAACAGGTTTGTATATGGTGGCAGATACTGTAGGCAGTCCTGTGTGGTGAAATGCTAAACAGCAGGCATTACTTAGAGACAAGCTAGGGAACTGGTGGGAGGAATGGTGGGAGGTGAGTAAGGTTAAAGGTAGCTGATACTGTAGGGTCAGCTGCAGCTCAGATGAGGTCTTGTTACAAGCCTCAGGAAGTGGGATATGTCACTAGGACTTAGCAGCAGCAATGTGTGAGTGGGGTGTTACTCCAGGGGGGAAAACAGTGAGTTGCTCTCACAAGCATTCTGGAAAGGAGATTTTAAATTACAATTTCTATGCTTTGGAAAAGGAGTAGTATATGACTAAAGTGCCCTAGTTTCTTTTGTTTTCTATAAAGTGCATTTTTTTAAAGTCATTTGATTCAGCATTTGGGAGGAGATGGCGTACAGCTCATTGAACAGCCAGCATTCATTTCCCTGTATGTCTGCCTGAGAAATGAGGTTTGACCCAGTGTTAATGACACTGAAGAATTGAACTGCTTTGTTACTGCTAACGAAGATCTGACAGAAGGGTTAAATTTAGATGTAAGCCTCTGGGAAGAAAGTGTCTGGGTTTCTTTAATACATACCATATTAGGTAAAGAAAAGATTTTGGGATTTTTTTTTTTTTTAATTACTGTTGTTATTTTTTTGCTGTTTTGCCTAGCTTGCTTCTATAGGCTGTTTAAAACTGGAGGAGATGACAGTTCTGATTTCATATATACCTTCCTAATGAAGGGAATAACAACATTAGATTTAAACATCAAAATCTTGGGGTTGGCCCATAAATAGCCATTGTTTTCTGGCTTCTGCACGTCAGACTTCTGTGGTAAATACCACCATCATAAATGATTGGCTTAGGTTTTTGTGGCTATAAGTTGGGTGTATTTTCATTTGCAGATCGGGAATCATAACAAGGCCATTACAATGAATGTTTTTTTTTAGCTTGTCAAGTGTAATAATTATGGAAATGAATAAATGAGTATGCTTTTATTGTTCTGTTGACATGGCACTACTGAATTTGTGTGTAATAGCATAATGCACGATAGTTGGAAGACCCCTATCCTATCAAAAAGCTGTCCAATTAACTCTGAAAAAAATAAATGTTGTGGTTTTGTTAATATTCTTCTATCACTCTGGATAAAAATATATGTAACTACATTTCACAAATAGTGAAGCACAATGAGACAAGTCAGATGTTTAGCTGGAGCCATGGAACAGGTCATCGAGAAATTTAGAAGCTGTTTGACCAAAAAAACAGCAGGGAGACTGTGGCAAACAGGTTTCTCTATGTATTTAGTAGGCTTTGTTTTTCTTGCTCCTTGAGGGAACTGTTTTGTAGCTTACAGAATCTCTGAGGAGATACCCAGAAGATCTAGTAGAAGAGAACAGTGGAGAAGGATAGTAAGTAGGGAAAGAAGAAAAGCAGCTTTCTTCTTTTTTGTGTGTGTGTGTGTTTTTAATAAGATCAGAGGTCAGTAGAGTGGAAGATGAGGACAGTGGTATATGTAACACTGAGGAGGAACAGAAGGCAGGATGGTTTGCAGACAGAAATGAGAATGAAGACAGGGTCAGTCATGTCAATAGCTGGGGTGCTTGTTAGAAGGAGTAAAAGCCCTACTTGCTGAAAATTTGATTTCAGAGTTGCAAACTCCCATATATTTAATGGAGAGAGGGGAATGTAGTCAATTTCATGGCCTTTTTAAGAACTGCAGAGAACACTTTTCATGACTTAGGCTGTCAGTTTTCAAGAAAGGTGTGTTCAAACTCTATCAGTTGTACAGAATAGCTTCCCAGGTTATCTGGAAAACAGATAGCTTATCATATCAGAGAACACTTAAAAGATTTTGTTTAGACTGGGTAGATAAGACGAGTTATGATTGCTGCTTACTAATATGTCAAGGGAATAAACAACAGAGACCAGGAAAGTAAAACACTAAGCTTAAGGTCAATATTAGCAGAGGGACTGTGAGTAAGTTCAAGTTGAAGAAAAAGTGAGGGGAAAAAAGAAGTGAAAAGTGATTCTGGTGTGATTTTCTACAGTACCTGGAGTCTGGAATGGAATATTGAAGTCCTGAATGCACCCTGCTGTCAGATGGGTGTCTCAAATTTGAATCCGCCATGCAGTTCTGTTTCAGGCACTCTCTAAAGCCTGGACTTTTGTCCTTAGTTTACTTTGAGAGCTGAGGGTAAACAAAATATCCCATGGATCATAAATGAGTTTGCTGATGTGGAAACCTTAAAGGATTTCAGTAATTTGTTCACTTCTTAATGAAACAATCTCTTCGCAATCTTTTCATCAAAAGGCAGAAAGAAGAGTGTCTTATTTAGAAAAGGTAAATGTGTGACTGTGTTGGTTTTGCACAGCTGGAGTAAGCAAAAACACAGAGCTTGAGACTGCTGTCAGCTGCAGTTACTGCAACTCTGTTGTTTTTTGGAAGACAGTGGGAATAAATGAGGGGAGGGATCACAGCAACGCATACTGCTCTGTGGTGTCCTGGCCTTTCAGGTTTAATGTAAGCAGCCGAATTTGGACAATTGAGCAAATCTTAGATGTCCAGGAGAACTACAGAAGTGCTCTCAGGCCACTAGCAGTTGCCTAGGAAGTCAGCCACGTTGCTGCTCTCACTTGATAAATGTGGCTAAATAATTAATTTCCATCTGGAGGAGATGTTACTTCTCTAGTTTGTCTAAGCCTAGACAAAGAATTTGCTGACTCAGCTGTACATTAGGGAGCTAAGCTTCATTACTGCTAATGAAGCAATTAAGGAAGTATAGAAAGAAAGCTTAGCTTTTTTTCAACCAATAATACATGAAATTTTGATACCTAGCAGTATGGTATAGTTCTTGTTTCCTGGATTGTACCCTGGATGTTACACGTGTGACAATGCTCAGCCTCCCTCTTGAAATGTAACAGCTGTAGCGAAAATGGAAACTGCTGGAAAAGCTGCTGCCATGAGTGGAGGATGTCGAGCATTAATGTGTTGTTTATCCTAATGAGGCAAATGTTTCCAATTTTATTTTAAATCTATCAAGTCTTTGATTACTTTCAGTAGGCTGTGGAAACTGCTTACTATGTTCCAGATTCTTCTGGAAGTCTCTTCCATTACTTTTAGAAATGTGGTGTTTTGTTGTGTTTTTTTTTTTTTTTTTTTGTTTGTTTTTTTTTAAAAAAAAAAAAAGCTGATATTTTCTTAAAGGGCCGTAAAAATGATAGTTGACTTCTCCCCCATCTGAAGAACTACCTTTGCCTAGAAAAGGCACTTATAAGAAGGCACTTACACCTGCCTGCAGTGTAAGTGATGCCAGTTTGAAAGATGGTTAACAATGGGAAACTGGAAACTTTTAAGTTAATCTGCTTAGGTAAGTAAGACTTTGGAGTACTGATTAAGTTAACTTTTGGCAACATCTTAAGAAGACTATGGTGAGTAATTACTGGTAGCTATGTGACAGGTCATCAAGTATGACAGATGAAACCTCAACCTGTTGTGGGGTAGTTTCTGTAGTACACAGAAGCTCATGAGTGTTCGGAGGTTGTATCACAGCCCCAAGTACAGAGCTCCAATAACTCTTCTGTGGGTGCTTGGTTCCTCTCCTGTGCAGCACAATCTCATTTTCTTTAGCCTGTTGTCTAATTAAATGCAATCCAGTTGAATGGGTTATCTTCCATTAGTTTTTTGAATATACTCTGGAAAATCTTTTGCACGTTTTCTGTAAGCTTAGGCACAATGAACCTCAAGGATTCGTACTATGCTATAAGTCCCTTAACCTTGGTTAAGTCACCGCTTGGGTTAGTTTGATCTTATCAGCCCTTTGGAAACAGCGCTGGGTTTTGATGCGATTATGGGTGAGAGCTGATGGAGATAGTTTTAAAAAATTCTTTCTTTGGAAGTTAGGTTGTTAGTAAGTGGTGGGAAGAGCTATATTTAATTTTTTATCTGACATAAAATGAGATTTCACTGATAATCTTGATTTTTGTGATGAAACATATGTCTAACAACCCGTGAATGTATAGAAATTCTGTAACCAGTGTGATTGGTGACCTACATTTCAAAACCATTATTTTAACCACACTATAAAATTTTCCATCTCTTTTTAAAAAGACTCTTTTGAATTTCTATCTTTTAAAAAACCAGAGTTTCTGACTAACATATCCTTAATTCTTTCCCACAATGTTCTTCCAGTTACATTTGAATCTCAACTTAAGTTTGTCAAGTGAGCAAAGCAGCAGTCTATTATGTGTTTACAAAGCCAAATCTGTGTGGCTATGCAATTTGCATGTGCTTTAAGTATCTCCAAATGAAAATCACATGTTCTGAAATCCAATTTTGCTGTACTGTACTGACTTTGTTTCCTGTTATCCTTCAAGCTCTGAGTACGGAACAGTAGAAGCTGAATGTGTTGTCTGTTCCTGTGTTTTATCTAGACCAGAGTGCAAGGTTAAAGTTCTGAGATGTCTGGCCGCATTTTTACATGAAATGGAGTCTGCTGAAAGGTTTGTGTAACTTGAGGCTTATCTCTTGCTTCTGTTAGGGTAGATGTTTTTGAATTATTTTTGATAAGGAACAGTTATTATGAATCAAGCCCTAGTTATTAGCCACCATCTGTCATTGTAAAGGAAAAAAAAAGGGCAGCCAGAGCATAGTAACAGTGTGAGGTAACTGAGAGAGAATGAGAAGAGCCTTTCTATTGCAACTTTTTATTTGAAGGTGGGAGAGAATGTCAGGGTAAAGACTAAAGCTGTGGAGAATCCAGTATGAGTTAGAGTTTTCAACATTAAGTTCTGGAAGAGGTGGCATGGATCTGCGTATAAGGCATATCTGAGACTAATCATCCCTAGAATGAGATAGCATATGGGAATACTGCAGTAGTATGTGATACCAAGATTTTAAAAACAGGTACTGCTGCTGTGTTACAGTGAAAAACAGTACGCAAGTACTTGTCTCTTTCTTCTCACAAAGCTGAATTCATAGTGTTTAGAAGACAAATTGCTAGCCGTTCTGCAACAGCTGTTTCCAAAGCAATAAGCTAATGGTGAGTTGGATCTAAGTTTGTGGCACCTGCTGCTTCCTTAAGGTAAATGTACTTAATTTAAGAATGTATTCTTCTCAGAGCTTGGTAAGTAACAAGGATTTATCACGTTATGAATATTGACTGTCTCTCATTTAAAAAGAAGAACAAAAAACAACATAAACAACTAACCTCTAGGTTGT